TTTTTTTATTCTTTCCTGTGTGCCAAACGCCATCAACGAGCACTCCACATTTATAAAGCCTCACTTAATTGTAATCACGTACTTTGTAAGGGAGTTTTATAACCTACCAAATCAAGTGTCTAAAGAAGCACGTCTGGGAACACCCACTGGGCCCAGCACCAGAGCTCTTTGTTCAGGAGGCTCAGTGGCAAACTCTAATTATGCCCCGGGGGGCAGCCCCCAGTAATCCCTAAATTCCCTGGGTAAGCTGTGGCTCTACCTTTTGGTTACAAGCAGAAGGACATTTCTGACCTTTGAAAGCTTTTGCAGGAGCTGTTAGGATGGTGGGTATCCTGGGGGCTGCCAGGGGAAGTGGGGGAGCAGGAGCTGGGATGCTCCAGAGTCCATTTGCTTGGCAATTACCTGAGTTCCCTGGAAAATGGTGTTTCCCTGAGAGCTGCAGGCAAGGCTGCAGATGAAATCTGTGGTGGCAGTGGGGCCGGGAGCCAAACACCACATCCCAACCTCTGAGCATCCATCTTTTCTGCAAAAACCAACAGGCTCTGCTCTCTCCCAACCTCGTTTAGAAACAAACATTTCCCTTTCTTTCTTTGTGACAAAGAAGGAGACCTTCAAAAAGCCGCCTAGAGCAGACACTTCGCAGCTGTGCTCAAGCCCAGGGTCCCACTCGCGGTCGCGCAGCTCCATCTGCTGTCGCCGGGCGCATCCCGGAGCGCGGCCGCGGGGCTGTCCTCCCTCTTTCCTCCCCGCCGCACGGATCAGCCTGCTGCCACAAGGGGCTGAAGGAATCGTGAGTCAAGAGTCCTACTTTTATTCTGCAGCAGGCAGAAAAGTTTTAGGTCTGATTCAGTTGGAAGGGAAAGTCCAAGTCTTGCTCCCAGCCCGGCAGCTTTTGGTGTGATCAGCACTTTGTTGCTCTGAGAAGGCTGGAGGTAAGGGGGTCTGGGGCATTCTCAGAACCTGCAGATGGCTGATTACTGCCCTGAGAATTTTTTTGGGACCCAGAGATGCAGTGTCTTTTTTTTAATCTTTTTTTTTTTTTTTTTTTTTCCCATTTCTGGCCTCAAAAGGGGGACAGCTGGTGGCAGAGACTGGTGTAGAGCATGGAACCAGACCTTCTTCTCCCCCAGTGTGCAATCTTGTAGTTTTTAGTCAAATAAACAAATCCCATGGTTTTCAGGGTGATGGGAGTGATAATTTGGGAATAATGTGAGATTGTTTTCCTCTGAGAAAAGGCCAAAAGTCTTTGTGGCTGTGAAGTGGAAAATGTTAATGGATTTATTTTTTCTTGAATTTCATTTTTTTACAAGACCTTCTCCCACCAGATTTGCAGATCACTTCCCTGTTAAATAGTGGGAAAATGTTAGGAGTCTGTTTAATTCCCAGTCTTTATTATTCATAACTTGGAAAGATAATGTTGAAAATATTAGAAACATACATTTTAAAATTACCCCTCTCCATGCTCTGGTCCAGATTTTGGAGTTATTATGACTTCTTAAAATATAGAGGGCTGTCTATGCACCTTTTCCACTGATGCTGAGTAATTTCCTCTCTACCATGCTAAAAACCCTTTAGACACCTGAGCGCTCTCTGTCTCTGTTTGCTATTACTAAAATGGGGCTAACTCCCCCTAATCTTGAGAGAGTTTTGTCAGGATGAAAAGACCCCTAAAAACTATGTGGATCTGCTCATTTACCACAGAAAGGGCACTCCCTTTTGCAAGCAGCAAAAAAGCAATGTGCTGAACAGCTGTGACAAAAGTCTTTGGACAGCTAATGGAAATTACTATGCCTTTTTTTTGAGAGCCACCTGAGCACAAGACTGTAGCCTGCCACTCCCTTTGCCAATGTTTTCTGCTTTTCCCTGTACTTCAAAAGCTTGCCTCCCTCCACAGCTGTATTTTTATCTCAGCTGCTCCAGATGTTGAGGGTAACATCTGCACATTGCTCCTCTCCTCTCTCTGCAGGCTTTTACTAGAGAGCACCCTCAGAAACTCTGTGGCTGGAAGGTGACCTGAATATAAGGGTTCTGGCCTCTGCTGAGAGGCCAAGGACAAAGCCATAAAATCTTTCCAGCTCCTAAAGCCTCTGTCAATTCTGCCAGAACTTAAGCCAAGCACTAATCCTGTAGGAGCTTTAGAGGGTTTTGAGAAAACCCCAGACACAAAGCTGCTCAGAAACTTGAGGAACGTGAGAGTTATCTTTTGGGCAATTGGACTTTGAGGAGCAGCACTGCACTGGAGTCTCTCAAGTGTTTAGACTTGGCTTCACCTACTCAAATGCTGAACAAATGCCAAAACTGTTGGGCCAGAGAGTCAGGGAGAGGAAAGGCTGTTACAGCTATCTCCAGCACAGAGATTTAATGACAAGGCTTTCTCCTGTCCCACCCTCAGATTCATCAGGCCAGTTAGCTGACTGGTTAGCTGTACAGCCAAACATCAGGGCTTGTCTCCTGAGTAACTCTGGGCTGAGCCCCACCAACATGGAAGAAATCCAGATAGTCTCTCTATAGCTCTGTCACCTTTTGAGGACCTTGAGCTGTGATGTTGCTCTCTTTTTCTTGGTGCAAAGTTAGTTGTCTTTTGGGTAGTAACACCAGCTGGTATTGGAAAAGTAATTTTTGTTGTTGCTCCAAAATTACCTGTAATTTTTTTTAAGTCTGCAAATCAGGCTGAAAACTTAACATGTTCCTCAAGGCTGTGTGTCTATGGGAATTACACTGGGACCCTTGGAGCCACTCAACATGACCCCAGTCTCTGGCCTTACATCCCCATCAAGTCCTCGGTGTTTTGTGTTAAGAAATAATTTGATTTATGAAGTGAAACCTAGGCAGAAATCTGTTCAAAGGCAGCCTTCCCTCCAGCAAATATCTCCAAAGGCCATGGGAAGGATCTGATTTTAAAGCAGGAACTGATGTCCTGACATCTACAGTGGGGATGGAGCTGGGCCTGGGTGCAGCTACTGAATGGTGCTGAGCACAAGTCCCTGTGGCACTGCTGCTGCTTTACCCAGTGTGGTGGGACACGAAGGAGCTGAGCCCCATGTTTTGTTCAGAATGGGCAGTTTTAACTGCTGCTGAAGGCTCTAGCCCAGTACAACCCACACGTCCTGGGAGATGCCCATGAGATCCATGAGGCTGCTGTGCCCATGAAGGTTTCCACCTCTGCCCATCACCTTTGGACAGGGCAGGATCGCACATAAGTGACAAGAGTTAACAAATTCCTAAGGGGAGTCCCTTAGATGAAGTAACAAGCTGTTCACCTCCAGTGCTGGAGATCCATCCTGATGGGCCAGAGCATCAGGCAGACGTGCACAAGCACATCAGGGATGAAGCAAGTCAGGGACCTCTGGAGCCATGTCTCTGCAGTTCTGTGACACAGATCTAAGGCAGCATTTAATTTTTTTTTTTTTTTTTCATCCAGACAATTTGCCTTCTCATCAGCTGAAGGATTTTCTGGGTCACCATGGACTCTCTGCAAGACCCACACCACGAGGCCCTCGGTCACAGCAGCGCAGGTGTGCTGGTCCCAGGGACAGGAGGACATGGTGGGGGATGCAGGGTAACATCTCTGGGACCTGCTGCCTGAAACTAGGTCATCTCCTGTGACAGTAGAAACGACTCTCAGCACAGATGGCAGGTGGGACCTGGGAATGACCTTGCCTAGTGGTCATTTTCTCATGCAGAGGCTTAGCTGGTGCACTGCAGGCAGTTGTTTGGTGACACGTGCAGCAGATGCTGAGCTCACTGTGGCCAGGATGTTTTGCAGCCATAGGGATATCTGGGAAAGCCACTTTTGCCTTGTGGCACAGTTAGTGTCTCCTCCTCCAGAGAAAAGAGGTGTCCTGCCACAGCTCAGAAAATGAAAGGTCTCTTTCACTTCTGCTCTTCTCTCTTTTCCTTTCATGCAGCCTGTGCTTGGGAAGGGCATCCCTTAGGAGATAACAGGCAGACACAGTCTGCTCCACCTCTCAGGCATCAAATTCAGATCAGCACTTTGAAGCAAAGAAAAACCATCACTTACTGCACAGAGACAGCTGGAAATGCTGCAAGGTCCTTTAAAAACTCAGCAATTTTACTCATGTCTAGTTATTGCTGGGAAAAGCTCAGACAGTACAAATAATGTAGGTACTTATCCACCCTTAGTGGGCCATTTAAAATGCCTTAACTGAGCTCAAAAGTGGTGCTGTTTTCTCTCACTTGAAAATACATTTAAAAGACATTACATTTGTTTGAGAACTTTGCTGATTGACTCTAGGTAAAAATAAGCACCGTCTTGTATTACATTGTTATGCCACATAAGCACCTTGCATAATTACCTTAGCCCCAACATAATTTTAATTATGTTAGATTTAGTGCAAAGAATTTTATCTGAGACTCATGTAAATATTTTGTGCTCTCAATACTTTGATGTACCTAGAAAGAGATTAATGTCTGCTTTGATAATTAGTCTATTGCATGTGGCCAAAAATTCATTACAAACACAGTTAATTAAGTTGTCAACAAACCTTTGGTCTCCGGCTGGTGAGAATAATTCAATAATTTTGTTCAGCTTGACAGGGGATTTTCTTTTTTATTGCTATCAACCCCAGCTGTCCTCGGGGGGGCTCATGGCACAGCAACATTTTCTGGGAGGTCATGCAAAACTGGACAGGACACAGTGCACATGCTGCTGCCCCAGGGTTGTAACACAAGGAAAGAAAATGAAGTTCCACCTGAACAAAAGCAAGAACTTCCTTACTGTGCAGTGACCAAGCACTGGGAAAGGTTGCACAGAGAGATTGTGGAGTCTCCCTCACTGGAGATGCTCCAGAACTGTCTGGACAAGATTCTGTGACACGTGGCTCTAGGGCAGCCTTGCTTGAGCAGGGTGGTTGGGACCAGGTGACACTCTGTGGTCCCTCCCAGCCTCACCTCTCTGTGGTTCTGTGGGTGCCACTCCAGATGTGGCATCATGGCTCTGTGCCACAGAGGACAGAGGTGAACATGGGCTCTAGTTCTGAGTTTGGGGGAAGCAAGGGACACTGATGTTTATCCCCCAAAAAGTTATCTGCTTCTGCTGAGGGATGAAGAGCCCCAGTCCTGCTGCTTGGAGCTCATAAAAGATGGTGTAGAGAGCCTGCCTTGTGTCTGGGGAGATGGTCTGGAGCTTGCCTACTGGCTGTTGATATTGTGGGTCCAGAGAGGGGACAAATGCCATCATGTGCTCTAGTAATTCAGCTCATGCTATATGAAATCAAGGTCTTTTCCCTAAACAGCCTTTTCCTGTTGCAGGAACCCTCCAGGGGGACTGTAGCCTGGCTGGATCTCTCTGTACCCCTGCAGCCCCCTGCCCCAGTGCTGTGACCATGCTACAGTGGGAGACCTCTCTGGTGCTAAGGATCTTGTAGCACCATGCTCACACTTTGAGCTGGTGTGGCACCCCCCCATCCTTTTTGTCTGAGAGCTGAAGCTGCCACTGGACTTGGACTCAGGTAGGTGACAGAGCCCCAGCAGGAGTGTGGGTTTGGGGCATCACTCAAGGACCAAACATCGAGTACCTCCAAGTGACTCTTTTCCATTTCAAAGAGCCCATTTGTTTTATCTGGCAATTAGCTTGCATCCTCAGTAGAAAATTACTCCATAAATACCACCAAGTGCCCAGCCAACCTCGCCTTTTAAATATATTTTAAGTGCATGATTAATACACTTTCCCAGCCCCTGTCTGGGACTGTGCAGGGAGGTCAGGGAGCAGGCAAATGAAAGAAAATGGCTTCACTCGGCATTGACTGGGCTATTAATCACTGCCCATTTTCTATAAATCATGGCAGATGGCAGGAGCAGGCAGGCACTCCCGGGAAATGACACACTGTGCATGACGGGAATCGCGGATCACAGCAGACACTGGCGAGGGAAGAGGCTGCTCCTCGCCCTGCTGTCCCCAGCGGAGGGAGGCCATGGCACTACACCTGTGACTCCCCTCCACGTGGCACCTCTCCCCTGTAAGAGTGGATGTAAAAGTTTTCAGGAACCTTGGAAAATTCACAGTATCACAGTTGGACTGGATGGGCCTGTCCGGGGATGGCTCTGCTTCTCATCAGGCACAGGGGCAGCAGTGGGGAGGATTTGCTGCATGTGGGTAGTGAGCATGGAGGAGGATGAGTCCTGAGTATCAGCAACTTCCAACCACCGTGGTCAGGGATACTTTTAATCAGAGCAACAATTAAAAATTTTGCTCCTGACAGTGAATGCTCATGATTGCTTTGCCTCAGAGCAGATGCAGGCAGGAAACGTGAGGGAAGAACTTAGACTGATAAAGTGAGGGTGACAGATATATCCTAAAATGAGCATGCATTTAGCAGCAGCATTCACCTAGGCATTTTCTGTGCTGTAGTCTTGGAGGGATTCCCTTTTCATGCCTGGGAAATGCAGGCTCTTCCCTCCTGGAGTGGATGACCACCTAATACTGCCTGGCGGTGTTGTGCTTCCCTGTATCTGTAATGTATCTATGGGTGGTGGAAAGCAGCTACTTTTTTTTAGGAATACAGACAATACTATATGTATAGATGAATGAAAAGAGTATTTTAAGTGGAGGCTGTATGAAAGATAAGAAAAACACAAATTATGGGCTGTCTTCTGCTGCACATTGCCAATCCCAGTAAAACCAGTTGAAATAATCCTCCACCGCACTTGGTATTTCTTCTACGGAATGGGATTTTTCCCGTCACCCTCTCTTTTCTGCCAGAGAAGCAGAGGGATGTTTTTTTCCCTCCTTTGATGCAAGGAGAGCTTATGTTGAGCTAATCAGTTTTGCTTTCCCGTAGCCTTGCATTGCCCTGCTTACCCCAGCCAGACCTGCAGCTGGACACCCTTGATGCTGCTTGGCAAGGAGAGCAGCATCGCTGCCCACAGCACCTCCTGCACAGCTCTCACCTCCAGCCCTGGTACACAACAGCAACAGCTCCTGTTTTGCTGGAAAAATAGTTGGAAGAGCAAACTAGGCTGGCTGCCAGGGACTCCCACCACCAGCAGGGAGAAAATGGTCCAAAGTAGGGAAAACTAGGATCATCTGCTCCAAGCCAGAGTCTGGCCTGTCAGCAGGGAAAAGAATGGACAAGGGTGGGGGGGATGGACAGAGTAAGTAGATTTAAGACTTGTGAAGGACATCTTCTGTGCATCCCAATGAAGGTCAATATGGAGAATGGCCCCATGAAGATGTAGTGGGTACTTGAGCATGCTGAAGTGAGTGTGTGCTGCTGGGCATGAGAGTCACAGGGAGCTGCAGGGTGACAGATCAGAAAGTGAGCAGCAAAGTAATCTTGGAAACGTGTGACCAGCAAAGGAAGAAACAGCCTCAAAAAGCCAAAAGGACCCGTAAAGACAGTGAGCAGGAGATGTGAAGCAGCAGACATGTGAGATCAGGAAAGGAGAGATTAATATGCCACAGCCAAGGAAGCTTCACATTATAAAGTGTAGGCGGGGTGATGGAGAGGATGGCATGGGGTCTTCAAACAGCAGCTGGGTGGCCTTGGTGCTTGCTGAAGTCATCTTCCCCAGCCCAGGAGCTGCCTGGGGATGTCGTGTGGCCCTGCTGCTCCACCAGCACAGCTGGATCAGGCAGGGAGGAGGGCTGGTCGCCTCCACAGGCAGCTGTGTGCAGATGTTTTCCACTGAGGGAAGAACAGTGAGGGCATAGTTTGAAAGGAAAGGGAAAAATCGTAGCAAAAGCTGGAGAAAAATTGTTGCTGAAGGAAACCTCGCTCTCAAACTGTCTGAAGCAATGTAGGGTGAAACCCCATTTTTTTGGCATCGAGGTTCTTCCTTCCACCCAATGTTATTTAAACCGGATGTTTCTTACCCCAAACAAGCCGTGTTTGGCTGTGCTGGACTCCTCAGCTGCTCCACATCCCCACTGCCCTGGCTGTGGCTGGGCTGGAAGATCTGTAAGGAGAACTCGGGGAGGGCTGGGTCCCCCACCCTTTCCTAATCCCCTCCCCAGCTCCCCCACAGGCCTCACGGGAGCCTAATATTTGTGCATGTGTGTTTTAACACGGCATATGGTCTTCATTACACACAGACTTCTCGCTTCCATAATTATACCATGATGGGAGTTCCTGTCAAAGCCATAAAGCAAATTCTCTTCCCCCGCCGTGTCTCTCCGCCCCCATGAGCCCTCCCCATAAAACTCGCAGGGGTCTCCAGTTTGCCAGGAGAACCCTCCCTCACTGGTCACATTAACCCTTTGCCTCCTCCCATTCGGCAGCTGCTGGAAGAAAGCTGAGCTTTCCCCATGGGCGCTTGCTTACCAGAAAAGGGGAAGGTGTTGTCCATATTTTGGCCATGTGAGAAAGAGCAGAGAGATCCAGCAGTGCCTCAGCCATGCTGGGGAGGTGGGGAGGCGAGCAGCAGCCTAAGCCAGTGCCCTTGTTGCTGCTCCCTCACCATCCTTGGAGCGTGCCAAACCCACCCACTGCCGAGTACAAGCGCCTCTGGGTAGCGCGTGGCAGCTGTTTAACAACACGCTGCAACACTACCCTGCAGCTCAGGACAGGAAATGAAGGCGGCTGCATCTGCAGGGGGAATTGAAGTGCACAGACTGCAATTACCTGCGCTGGAGTTTGGCCAGAGCCCCGCTCCTCCAAGCGTCGCCACAGGGCCGGACGCCGGTGGCCGGCGCTCAGGTGCTGCGGGGTCAAGCACAGCTCTGGAGACTGCTTGGGGCCTTGTGGGTCATGCCCAAACCTTGTCTGGGGTGGATGGAGGCAGGAAAACGTGGAGAACTTATGCACAAAGGGGAAATTCAGCTTTATGTGTATGTGGGTGCTGCATTGAGACACATTAAGATGATGGAAATTTAAGTACCCTTTTTCTTGGTGATTGACTGGAAAATAGGCTTGTAACTGCACTAGAAATAGTGAGTAATGGAAGGACAACTTCTCTCAACAAGTCTTTCTGGCCCCTAAGCCAGGGTGCTGCTGAGAGTCAGGAAAGAAACCATTTCTGGGGCTGCCCTGGTCTTTGGGGTCGATGAGATATCCCCAGTGGGTATGAGCTGCAAAGGGCTTGCTCAGGATCACACCAGAGATCCCACTCTGCTCTGTGCTCGTCATGACAGGAAAAATTCCATTTCCCACTAGGTGGTAGAGAAGAGCTTGGCTGAAAATCCTCCAGCTTCTCACAGCTGAGCAAGAAAGAGGGGGAGTTATATAAAACCGAAGACCTCTGTTTCAGCCAAGACTCCAGCAGACCCACATGTAAGAGGGGTGCCACTGCAGAGGGCTGGGGGAGAGGTGAGGGGTGGCCAGGGTGCTGAGCAGGGCACGGGTGCCACCCAACAAACACTGGGTCCTGCTCATCACCAGCCACTGCTGTGCCAGGCACTGGTGGCACACTTTTTTTGACATCTGTGGATGTTTTATGACCCTTTACTGATTGGTCTTGGGGAATGTGGTTTGAAATGGGCTGTATCTAATAAAAGAAAGTGGGGAGCAGAGGAAGTGTTCATGCTGATTTAATCTAGCACATGCTAGTCCAGCATCACTCCAGCCTGTCACAGAGCTGGTGAGCTTTGCCCACGTGCCTGCACTGCCTGCATAGCAGTGACAGTGACTTTAGTGTTTTCCACTGATGCTAACTCACTGTATCTCCCTGATTTTCCCCTCCCACAAGTCAAACACATCTTCACTGACAGCAGTTTTAACTAGACACAGGAGTTATTCCAAGGCAGGATTCATGCCCAGCCTGGACAGAGGGATGAGAAGGTTGGCAGGAGGAGCCCTGACACCTCAAGAAAGTGGTTTCCTATTGAGATCTCCAGTCCCCACAGGGACATCCCAGGGCTGGGATTCACAGAAGCCCCAGAGGACTGCCTGTGATCCTTTCCCACACCCTGGAAGATCAGAGGAGTGGGAGTAACTTAAAGAAGTCACACCTGAAGGCAGGATCAAATCCACCTGGCTCATGGTAGACAGGTGTTTATTCATCTGACCAGTGCTTAAATGGCTCTAATGAGGTAATTCTGCAGCTTGTCTCCAGTCTGCATTACCCTTATCTTTACAGATATTTTCTTCTTTTCTAACTTGAATGTCTTTTTTTGCCACACTTGATGCCCCTGACTTCTTTTGCAATACACCCTGGGCAGGAAAAGTGTTTTTCCTTTTGACTATAGTTCATTGCATATCTGAAGCCCAGTCCCACACCTGCACTCAGACATCATTATTTTCTGATCTTACCTCTACCCCTTGCACACATCTTCTGTGTGCCCTTCCCTATTATCCAAATCTTCCTTGGAGTTCAGGCTCAGTAGATCCAGGCAAAGTGATAAAACAATCACATATCAGCACCCAGGATGCTTGACTCCTGCTAGACCAAAGACTGGCTTGAATTTTCAGTACCTGCTTGCTTTAGTTTTCACTTTCCAGGTTTCTTTGTGGAAGCTGGACCCCCAGTGAGAGGTTGAAGCTGGGAGGGAGGCACCAACCTCAGCATTCCATGTCCTTCCCTGACTCTGGAGTATCACATTTCACCTTAGGAAATTTTTGCACTATCTAAAATATGAGTTCAAGGGATGAAGGTTGACAGGTGCTGTGGACTGGGGGTGTGTCAGGATCCCATCACTCAAACATCCTGCCTGGATTTATATTTTCACACCTCAATAATTCAGAGGAGGATGGATGTTTCTTTGAATTATCTGAAGTCTAGATGGATGAGCTGCATGTGATGGCATGAAACTGGGGACTCTGTCTAGCACTTCTGGGCAGACTGGATGAATGGAAGCTGTGCAGCTCAGCAGTTAGGGCTGGTCTCATCCTGGAGAGCTTTTGATCCCAGCACTGCACAGCACTGGCTCAAAACCTTTTTTCAAAGCACACCAGTTTTGTTTGGGATGGGGTACAATAAAAGGTCTGACCCAGCTGAAAGGATCAGTAATGCCTTTCAATCTGAAGGTGCCTGAAATAACTTTGGAAGGTTTCTGCAGCTCTGAGATGGTTGTTTTCATGGCATGAGGATTCAGAGGCAGTGT